AAAGAGAAATAAAAACTACCTAATTATGAAAGAAATAAGGCAATTTGAGTTTATATATGGTTGAGATTACTAAAAAGGAGTATTTTTTAGCACTTTTTACTAACTTTAAATACTTTTGAATTAAAATTCGAATTACATTCTTTTTATATGGATGAAATATATTAAGGTTTTTTGAATATTTGTAAAACATAACTTCATCTTCCACAATCAAGTACCCAATGCATTCTCAAATAAGAAAATATGTATTACAATATCATAGTTGGTGCTAGTAATGTGTGAAATTTTCACTCGAAGAGTGTTGAAAAGTTCGTGAAGATTTGCAATAGTTGCAAATCTATTCTCACTTCTACAAAATATAGCATCTATGATTTTTCCTTCTATTTCAAATAACTTAAGAAATCCACAAGTAAAATTAAAAGAAGGTAATCCACAACCTCTAATATTAAATGAAAGTTTCTACAAAGAGGGATAATATATTTTTTTTAAGGAAAAAAATCAATGTTAAAAACTAAAAAATTTATTTTAAGTAGATAATCTAAAACTTTCAAAATATAATAATAGAAGTAGGCTAATCTTCTCACTTTAAAAATAAGAAAAAAACAATGGATTAGGACTCTTGTCAAATTATCAAAGATATGAATCTCAAAAAATAAAAATATGAATACACTCTTTTGTCACTCAAAAAGACTAAAAAATCACTAAAAAAAATAGTGTATTGAACTAGAATGGCTATTTCCAAAGACAAGAAGATTGAAAAGTCTTGAAACAAGACCAAAGTCTAAAAAGGCCTTGACAGGAGTGAAGAAGGCTTCACTCTTACTTCCATATATATTCTTAACTAGAAGCTACATGACAATATTCTATAAGACCTCTAAAACATGTTGACTTTGCAAAATATATATCTTAATTTATAAGGCAAGTTTTATATATGTATGCAATATAATTAGCTTATTTTATAAGCTACTAATATATGATTAATTTATTGACCAAGTTTTTAACCTACTAATCAATTACAAATATATGTAAAGTCAAAGTAGAATCTATGAAGCTTCTAAGAATTTTTTCTAAAAAATATTATGAAATAAATTTATTTTTACTTACTTCTACTTAATTATATAGATAAATATTAGAATAAGTATATATGTCCATGATACAGATGAATTATGGTGGCCTAGACTTTAGCCTTAGTATAGATTCTTGAATCATAGCATCTCTCTTCGATTGCATTGCATGCATTCATCATTAAGATTTTGAATATTATACAAGCCATAGTGTTATAAGACAAGCTCTTCTATTGTTGTATTATATTTGCATACAATATATAAAAATTAAAAAATATATATAAAAAATACATTAAATTTTAATTTATATTTTTTATTAAATAAAATAGTTAAATACATGATTAGATATTAGAAATAATTAATTAATAAAATAATAATTTGAGACTAGTGGAGAGTGATGGATGATAAGATACTTAGGTAGCACCTAGAAGACCATAGATTTGAACTTTTATAGTAACATATGGAAGAAAAAAGAATATTCTTTTAAAAATATTTAATTTATTTTTTGAAGATATTTAAAAGACTCACCTCATAATATTTGCATTATGAGATTATATTTGATGATAAGAATATTTATTACTTATAAGCAACACCAATGAATCTCCTTTAACAATAGTATGATATATGATGTCCAAACCTTCTATATATTCATCTTTCTAATGGATTGAAATATAGCTTCTCCTAAAATTTTAAAAAAAAAAAAAAAAAAAAAAAAAAAAAAAAAAAAAAAATCACAAGTTGGTGGTAGGTAAAGTGTAATGACATCAATTCTTTAAAATCCTCAACTCATTTTTTTAAATAAACAAACTTCAAATAAAATAAAATTTAGGATTTAAGATTTGGAAGTGGGATTTAAGATTTAGAAATAGAGTAGGATTTAAGATTTTGAAAGAGTAGAAATTTTCTTTAAAAAGGGATATAAGGACTTTCAAAGAAGGTTTTAGGCTCTCTTGTGTTTGTTTTATAAAGATTTAATGAAAGGATTTTTTGACAGTATGAAAAGCAAGAGAATTTATGAAGGATTTGTATTTTATTGAGTGTTGTGTATGTTTTGAAAGTTTTTGTAAGAAAGTATGGCAATTAGTAGCAATCATAGGCCCCATGTTTTCTTAAGGTAATATTTCTTTTTACAACACTACTCACCTTCTTTTACAACAAATCAAAATTTAAGAACTTAAAACTCTAGAATTTTTAATATATTATGCAAAGGATAAAAGCAAAGAATTTAGGAATAAAGAGGGAAGTAAAGAATTACACAAGCAACAAAAATAATTATTGAAAAGCAACATAATCCACAAATTTTTATGTAAATAAAATCTAGAAAAAAAAATAAACAAACATATAATAAAAATATAAAAAATAATAATAGAACTATTGAAGCAACTCCTTCTTTCTTTGGATATTTGAAAGTCCAAGAAGTAGGTCAGCTCTTCAATCAAGCCTTGTCATATCTATGCCTATATTCTTGTCTACTTATTTTTTATATTAACAATTTATTTTCATCTCAATCATCTTATATAAATCAAATGATTCAAATATACTCTATCTTTTATTTCTAAAAATAGAAGTAGAAAGAAGAACAACAACATTTAAAATAGATAACTGGAATTAAAAATCCAAAATTAGAGTCATAAAACAAAGATATGAAACAAGCATTGAGAAGAAGGAACAATGATAAAAGATAGACAAAATTAATCATGAAATAGTAAGGATGATGAGGCATTAATAAAATAAAAGAGTGACTTTAATAAATTCCTAAACTTATTATTTAAATTTATTAATTAGATAGCCTAAATCAAGAAGAGATTTAAATAATAGAATAAATAGTATAAATATTAGTAATAAATTATATATATATATATATATATATATATATCTAATTTAAATATTTTATATTATAATAGTTGGTTTAAATATAATATTTTAAAATATAATTTTATTTTAAAAATAAATATTAAAATCAATAAAAATTTTAAATTATTAGTAGATTTTTTAAATATAATCTTTTTATATCTATTTTAAAGATATCAATAAATACACAAGATAGACTTAGGATATATTAAAAGGCTTATCTTTACCCTATTAATACTATCATGTGACCACTAATCATGTAGAATAAATAAATCCAATTTATTTAGTTATTGGTTATACTTAATTAACTTATTAGCTTGAATTATTTTTTAAATTTAATTTTTTTCTTTAAAAAAATTCTTTTATTTTAAGAATATTGTAAGGCCACCTAATCTTTTAATTTTTTAATAGTATTAAAAAGTTAATAATTATTTAATTTAAAAATATAAGCTAATATTCTAAAAACCATTATATTAGATCTATAAAAAAATAATTAATATATTTTTAATATCTATATTTTTTTCTTTATATATATATATATGATTTAAAATGTAATCATTAAATTATTTATATTTACATTTTAATAAAAATATTTTTTTAACAAATATTAACTTCCTTGGATTTTTTTTATAATATCTTTTATTCATAAAATTTTATTATGTCTTTTAAAGTTTAAGAATTTTTTTAAAATTAGCTCTTAATAAGTTTTAAGACATTAAAAATTCCAAAAAATATAAAATATCTTTATAATATCTACAATGTATGAAAAAAAGATCTAAGATTGATATTTTTTGCTCAATGAGAGATTTGAAACATATTGTATTAATTTATATAGTTTTTATCTGCAATGAATAGGTTTCTGAAAACTTAGGAATTATTGTCATGACTTAACTTGTTCCTCTCTACCCTAATCTTTTCTTTAAGCATCTTTCAAAAAGACAATTATTATATGCAATGGATTAAAAAATAAATTATTTTAATAAATTTATTTTTAACATTGCTAATATTAAATCTTTGGTATTGTATTTTAATTCATATTGAAATTGATTGATAAGGACTTTATTATTCCAATCTACATTACAAGTAAGGTTTTGGAATTCAATAGCATATATAGTAGTTGAATGTGATTATTTTTGTAAAGATAAGAGTTTTATCTTTGCTATTTTTTTTCAATTATTTTACCTAAATGTGGCCAAAAATACTTTCAAGAATAAATTTAGATCATACATGAGTTATAAATTTTTCTCCATTAAAGATGCAAATCAAAAGAAAGTACTCTTAGATCTATGTGCATCTATGAATACAACTTAAGTAAATCCATTAAGATTATTAGAGATTCTTGAAACACGTGTGACTTGAGAAAAAGTAATGACATTCATCAATCTTTTACATGATATTCATCTTCTTAGATAGTCTTAACACTATTGGTATCAAAGATTACACAAAACATATACTTAGACATAAAAACTATACATATATAAAAGCATACAACAATATACATCTAGACACATATATAAAACATTTTTAATCTGTTGTGTTATCAATTGAATCGCGACATCCTAGGAGATTGAATAAAATATTTTCAAACACATTCCTTGTTTTGCATAAATCCTAGGAGATTGAATTATTCAATAAGCCACAGAAGCACGTGCCCTTCAACCTGCCCGTCCCCCCGCTGGTTCCCCTCCGTTCCCAGATTTTCGATCAACGGGTAGGATTTAATCTGAGGACCACCGCGGTCCGAAGATCTACGATGGCGGAGCCAGTCACACTGTTCTTTGAGGTAATGCTGTGGTGGTAGGAAATTTCACTAGATGCTGCTGGTTTCTCCCGGGCCGACACCGAATGGCCGGCAGAGCTTTGTATGTGTAACTTAAGCATTGGATAGTGCGATGGAATTAGTTGCATCGGGAAGTTGTTTTCCTTGCAAGGGCCATCATTGTCAAGGGTTCCAGTTTACTGCATAGGTAGGCTAACTGACCGGGTGTGATTCCATTGTGTCACATGTTTCACGTCTCTGTGGACTGTTGCCCACGCTTAAACTGCCGGGGATACAGATATGGAAGAAAGGCCTTATTGCAACGGGTGCCGGCTATCGGAAATAAGCGTGCGGCTCGCTCACCTGGATGCTCACTCTCTTTATTTTGGTTTTGTGATGCTCAGTTTAGTGGCGAGTTAGCTCCCGATGTTTTGATTAGCTCATGAGGTGCGGATTTTAGGGATTTGTCTGTGGATGCGTTCGCTACTGATTGAGTTGGAGGGAGGGAAACTTTTCAGGTCGACGGATTGGTGTGTTCTGCTATCAGTTCGGTGAAATGAGTTATCCTTATGCATCGTGTATTATTGTATTCTTTCCATGTGTTTAGATTAGACGGAATGTGTCCGTGTTAGAAGGATTAGGAAGCATTCTGTGATTCTTGGCACTGATGTTGGTTCCGTTGGGTTTTTCCGTCAGTTGTCTGTGTTCTGAGCTCGATCATGGTCTTGCAGGGAACGCCTTTGCAGCTGGTAGGTACTTGACGGGGTTGAAATGGCGAGTCCTTTAGTTGCCTTGCCACTTGTAATGGCAGGTGGATTCGCACTTGCCGAAATGTTCTTCAAATGGAAGAAAGGAAATTTGCACACCAAACATGTACCAGACTTTGTTTTCGATAAGTTTGGCAAACTGAAGGACATTGAGGGGTTTGGCGATTATTTTGGTAAGATTTGTATGTGTGGAGGCTAGGGGGATAGGAAATTCTCTTTACATTGACGACCAAATAGTCTTGTTTATTCGGATTAGCTTTGTACCGGTTTTTTATATTCACGTGGGTTACCATGACGTATCCTCCTTCAGGGGCTTCCATGAAAGTGCGTGCACGTTTGTATCGATTGTGCTAGTCAGCTTTGCGGTGGCTTATCACGTTACAATTGCACAGGTGCATCTTTTTGTTTGACAAAGTTACTTCGCTTATCGTTCGGACTTGTTCAGTGCGTCAGTTGGGGCTTGATACGGCTAATCCGATCGCCAAGACAGTTTCCAAAGCAGCAGATGCCTATTTACGCGATGATAGGCGCGAGAAAAGTGAGGCTAAAGAGGTGGTTTGCATTCTCGTGTCCGGTCCAACCCTGGAGGAGGATAAAAAACAGATCTGCGAAGAAATTTTGTTTGAACTGGAGATTTGCGTTGTTGCATATTTCAGTTTTCATTGGAAGCATGCAAATTCTGTTATCGAGAAGGTATTCGGGTGGCTCTCTTGTTGACCAAATGCGGACGTTGTAAGTGCGGTTTTTCATGAGTTCGTCTAGAGAAATACGCTCTGGCTACCTACCACTGGGCATGTGCATAGATTTTTCTTGCGCGTCGATATGTGCAGAGATTTGTAAGATCAGCAGCATGAGGGCAAAAATACTGCTGTGTATATACAGTTTATTAGTTAATAAGTCCTTTGCCTTTTATATAGTTTAGCTACGATGCCTCTAGGGCTTGCTAATGATGTCGATTAACAATACAATGATGAAGTGTTCCCAAGCATTTATATTTGAAGCTGACCTAATTCTTTGCATGGTTATTCAGGTAGTTAGTCAAGGCGCCACAGAGAAAAAATTGCACAAAGCGGTGTTGTGTGCACTCAAGTAAGAGGGTAGTTAGACGGCAAGATCGCCTTCACCATCGGAGTTGATGAAGCTTGTTATGGAAATATATGAGCAGAGAAACAGAGTGCCGCTGTTTTTGCGATGGAAATAAGTTCACCTTGATTTTGTGCAGGAAACAGCGCTACGAGGCGGTGTTAAAGTCGCTGAGTACTAAGCGTCGAATTCACACTATGATTGAGGAATTGAAGACAATAGGAAGATCGAATAGCTCTATCCCAGATAAGGGCGTAGTGACTGTTCCTGCTGAGTCTTCCAAGCGTAGCCCTGTCATACTCTTCATTGGCGGGGGCATGGGTGCGGGAAAATCTACTATTGTAAAAGAGGTTTTGTCAAGGTATCCATTCTTGTTAATTACTATCATCATTATAATGTACTGCGTGTATTGGAACATTACTAGAAGCTTTTGAGCACAAATTCTAAGTTCATTCGTTCTGTGAAAATGTCGCCTCTTCATGTTTGTAGCTCATTTTGGGCTGGCGTTATCAAGGATGCTGTGGTGGTGGAAGCCGACGCGTTCAAAGAAACTGATATCATCTATCGAACTTTGAGTTCTCTGTCAAAGGGAGATGTGTCAGGGAACGCTGAACTAGTATGAGCTTGATTTCCTGCACCGATTTTTTATTACCTGGAAGAAGTTGCATTTAAACTCGTGTTTTACTTTATGGAATCGTATGTAGTCCATGTGTTTCTATATAGTAGTTGGTAATGCAACGGATTGAAATTTTTCCTTGCTTGTTCCTCCTCACAATGCTGCTTCTGTATTAGGCTGCGGAGGGTTAATAAGAACAGGTGGATTGATCCTTGGAATTTTTTTGATGCATCCTCTGGTGTGTTTTATATCAAGATCATGTAAGTGTCACATGCAGTTTTTAAGGTGATACTCTTGTTACTGAATATGAGAACTTAACAAGTGTGTTTTGTCTTGCAGGTGCACCAATTCTCGACAGAAACAGCAAATTCGTTGCTTGTGTCTGCTTTGAATGAAGGTCGCGACGTAATTTTTGATGGCACAATGTCATGGGAGCCTTTTGTGATAGAAACCATTGAAATGGTCCGAGATATCCACAACAGGTAGTTTCTTAATCGGGTAGCTTTAACCATGCATGATTTGAATGATCGATTGTTCAGTCTCTTTTCATTCTGTCTTATTATCTTAGATCGGAATCTGCCAAAGTGAAGCCTCCTGATAACTGTAATGCTTCCTTAATATGCACTGCTCCGCAGGCGGTATCGAATGGGCCCTGGGTACAAAAAGAACGATGATGGCACTGAAGTAGAGAATTACTGGGAACCTCTAGCTGAGGACAGCGAATGTGCTATTGTGAACAAAAGTAACGACGGTGGAAAGAGACCTTACCGAATCGAGTTTGTTGGTGTTGCTTGTGATGCACATCTGGCTGTGGTTCGTGGTATGAGGTAATTCCGAGCGAAAAGCCTACCCTTCATTCCGTCAAAGCAGTGTTTGCGTACTTCCACCTACAGAATTCAGAAATGAGGTGCTATGTTTGACTTCTATGTATTTCGTTCTATCAATATTCTTAATCATGAGGTAGAAAGTTCGCAGAGGCGACCTCATCTTTCTCATGTGCACACCTTGGTCATTACACAGTGGTGAGTAAGGTGGCTGTCGTCAAATTTTTAAGTGACATCCTAATTAATTGACCCCCGCGAGTGGACTCTCTATGTCTTGCGCACACCCTTAATCTCTAATGTCTGTTGATTTTTGAAAACATTGTCTTGCGCTGAAATTCTCAGGAGGGCAATAGCAACTAAGAGGGGAGTTCCAGTGAAAGGGCAACTTCGATCTCACAAGTTGTTTGCAAAATCCTTAGAGAAGTACATATCTCTGGTTGATGCGGCAAAAATATTTACTACCAGCGCGTGGAATGGCCCAGCCGAGGTGACGACGAACCGTCAAAATCAAATGCTTGTTTTTCCTCACAAATTTACACGAGTTTTTAGTTTACGTATGCTTGAGGTTTGTACAAGGTTGCCACTAACCAGCTCTTGTGTGCACGAGTGCAGTTGATTGCCTTGAAGGATGGCCCTGGTAAGAAGTTACTTATTGATGTCGACAACTACCCTGGAGTACGTTGTCTAGGAGATCTAGACCCTAACTCTGGATCCGTGACTGAACTGTACAAAAACAATGTAGACATGAAACTTGTGAATCAGTTCTGGCAGAACGTGATATTAGATTCCAATAGAAAACTTCGGCAGAAGCGCTTGTGTAAAGCAATTCTAGCGAACGCTTCCACCTCAGCACTCCTGGAGAAGTCCATGTCGCAGCTCTCTCAAGATGAAATCAATTCCTTCAGTAAGTGAGGTATGTATAAAAGTTTAAAGTACTAGATTTCGTCTCAGTGTTTCGTGGCATGTATTATGTTCGTTTGCCTCACACCATACTTACTACCATTCGTAGCGCATGTAGAGCACGGTGTAACCCAGAAGTAGTATTAATGAACAGCTATCATTCTGGCAACTATTACAGATGGTCAACACTATATGTAGTGAAATTCTGCAGTACTTCAATCAAACAAGACGAAACTGCGTATCCATAACATGTTAGCGACAACAAATATGGCAGATCTGTATGACATGGAACTTGCAACAAAATTTGTACCAAAACACCATTCAACATTCCTGAATTTTTGCCCCTCGAGGCTCCCTTTGTTTCGCAACGAACTACGGCACAACGTCATTAGTCTGTATCTAAACCAAAGTGTAAAAGGGCCCAAAAGCCACAATTACCATTCTACTTCCACCGAACACAAGAAATGCGTGTGCAGACACGTTCGACATAAAAATGTGGACTATCTTCAGTGGCAATAACCCTCGTTTGAAGTAATCCTAAGTCGACAAGATTTACGCCCAAGGTTATCATACGTAAATGTTGAACGAAGCAACAAAGGGAAACAGTAGGACAGCTGAGTTCATGTGTAGGGCAGTTACATGTCCCAGCATCTCCTGAAGAACTTGCAAAGAACTGCAACACGCCGAAGAAAAAACAATCCAACTTCCCGCTGACTCATCACAGTGAATAATCAATGCACACAAAATTTTCAGATGGTCCTCTACTCTTCCATCGCCATTAAGGACTGGCCCGAAACGATGAGGAGCTACATCTGTAAAGGACGATGAAGAGAATAGACTTTGAATGCCTAACACAGATTGCAATTTCGAATGCAGTGCATGAGCACTCGAGAGAGAGTGCAACCCGTGACACACTAATAATCTGCCTAACAGAAAGTGATGTTCACATGGTTCACGATCGCAGGATTGGTTAACCAGGAAAGTACTGGAGATCTCGGCTGCGAATTTTACGCGATGGAAGGACGCAGGGCACAATCCTCTCCTCACAAATTTAAACAAAAAGGAGAACTCCAGAGCGAGATAGGTTCAATGTGTATTTATTTCTAAATCTTTTGGTACAGAGAAAACTCCACAAGCAAAAATTGGCGTCAAATACCTATATGTGCAATTAAGAAAACCCTCACGCAAAAATCGGGACCGAAATGATACCCAAAGGCATGCTTTGATAACTCAACGTGCACAGCTAATCTCACCACCCAAACCCTAAACCCATGACCACAAAATTTGGCTACAATGACAACAAACCCATTCCGAAACTCAAAATGAGACGTCCGGCTTCTCAGGCTCATCTGGATTATTCTCCTCTTCCTCTTCCTTCTTCTCTTCCTCCTCTTCATCCTCTTCCGGCGGGTCGGCAGGCAGCGGTGGGGGCAGCGGGGTCTTCATGGGGCTAAATTGCGGGAAGATATCCGCCCTCCTTCCAGGTCGCGGCCTGTCCCATTCGATGGGGAAATCAAGCGGGCTTCTCCTCGTCATCTTCTCCTCGTCGGGAGCCATACCCCGAACAGCTCCCACACTCCATGACTTCCCACCCTTAGACGTACCCACCCTACTCACTGGACCAAACTTGACCGAACTAGAGGCTTGCAATCCATATTCAGAAGACGAGCAGGAGCAGCAAGAGTACAGTGTTTCAAAGCGAAGCGGTAAGGCGGACGCTGTGCGCAACACCGCCATGGCTACAACTGGAGACAAACCTCGCAGGAACGAAATCTCTGAGGGGACTTGGAAATCGGTTTAGTGGTTTGATATGAGATGGGTGCTTTTGCATTTGGTGCAAGATGAGCCACCCGTTCCTTCCCTTTCAGAGGAGGGAGGTCATTTGTGATTCTCCAAGGGCACGCTGGCCCGTCCATCGGTATGCCGCATCGGACGGGTGGGATTCAATCACTTCTTCTCTATTTTCCTTATCGTAAAAAAAACTGCTTTTACGCAGCCATGGATTTCGGCGAAATCGCTCGCAAGACTAGGTTTTTTCGTTCATCCCGCTTTCGACGCCGTCGTTACTACCAACAGTTTCAGTAATTCTGTGAGGACAGTCTTCGAAGCTCTCTAACCAGATCCTTTGTCACTGCAAAAGATGCCCCATGCTAGTGTGTCGCGGTGATGACGTCCATGGGCTCCGTCTTTCTTAAGTACGATGATCATTTCTGTGATGCGGTGACATAGTCAAGCATTCCTGGAAATGAAGATACTATTCTCACTAATCATCATCTCAATTCTTTAATGTAAGGTAGCAAGCTCTTTTTGAACTTTGAGCCGCAATTTTTCTTCCTACACGAGGTTTTGAGTTAGTGCAATATCTCCATAAAATGTAGTAGTGATGTTCGGTCTCATTGGGACGGCAAAGGAGACGAATATGCACGACCAGCATTGGCTTAGTGTCAAGATGTATAAGAAATATGGTGCATGGCGATTGGACCAACTTCAGCCGGAGAAGTTGAGCAGGAAAAACATGTCGAGAACCGGACGATGCTCATTGGGTAACAACTACCAGAATTTGTTTCATTTCAGGTTAGGAACTCTCTAGATTACTCCTCCGCCGTGAAGTCTCCAAGCATCTCATACCATCTTCCCTGCCGTCGGTGATACAAAACCTCATCCGAGACGGTGTCGGCAGGACAGCCGAGACCACTCCGAGCGTGGCATCTTCAGCATTGATTTTAGAAATGAGGAGAAGGTGGTGCTGAGCTTCGCAGTTTCATGGCAGAGGGTTCAATGAAAAGAGTTTCACTATTGTTTTAGATTGCTAAGGTAGCAAACCAATTGTAGACCACCTCCATTTCCATTAGGCAGACATTGATTAAAAAAAATTCATTTCCATTCATCGGAAATGGGTTAGTTAATATGATGTTAATATGATGTTAAGCTGTGATCAATAAATAATATTCATTACACTTAGAATGAGTTTGTGTGATTTGTAAAATTTGAATTCTCATTTTTCTAACCCATCACCAATTGGACTTAGGTAGGCCTATATGTCCAAAATAGATCAAAAAGAATCTTTAGCTAAATCATTTATATAATTCTATTTTTGGGCCAAATTGTGTAAAAACATTTGGAATCCTCCTGATTTTTAATTCCCTATATGAAGGAATATTTTTCTTAATTTTACACCCATTGGATATATGCTAAAATGTTTAAGCTATCAAAAATGGGTTGTCTACTTTATATACTTTATATGCTTGCAGTGAATGCCAATTCAATATCATTAGAGAAATTATTTGTTAGTTTGCTGATGGCTCATTTACACATTGTTGTAGGGAGATTATATCTATGTGGAGTTGAAAATTAAACTCATGTGGTGTTTGTTGATAGACACAACTTTTGAATCTCATTGTTGTTGAATAAAAATTGAGAAGGCATTTTCTTCAAAGTTTTGAATAATAATTTATAAAAAGGTAATTATACAAAAGAAAATAACTAAACGATTAGTTTTTCCATATCACAGAGGATCCATCATGTAAATGTTCTTATTTTGCATTATAGGTATTAGTGTTTGTTAGCATTTGAATGGTATGGATTTGCAAAATTTTAACTTATGTCAAAGTAATGATTAAGAAGTTTTTAATTGCAAATATTAAATGTTGAATTAAAGAGGTCTTTATATCTAGAACCCCATTTCTTTAAATCATGATTTAATAGTCATATCAAAGTCTCTTCTTTAGTAAAGAAAAACCCTTCTTTAGAAGCCTTAATCTTTGGATATAATATAAAGAGAGAAGAGCCGACAAACTAGACTAAATCATATTTTATACTATAAGTCTAAAAACAATAATGCATATTTTGACACTTATAAGAGGAATGAAAAGTTTTATTAAAGATCTCTTTTAGAAATATTTTACATGATTTCTCTAATTTTTTTAAATAACCATTTCTTGATATGTGCCTAATAGAAACTCCACGAAACAACATTTTTTATGCCACATACGACTAAATTATATTCTACATAATCTTTTATTTTTTAAAAAAATTGGACATATATTTCTAAGCAAAATAGCAAAATAAGCAAGGCTTTTCAATTTCAATTGATTGAAGAATTTGAAATTTATAACCTTTCACCTTGTTTTTTTAAAATAAAACTTTCTAAGCATTATAAAGTAATACTTTATTGAGCCATGTAAAATAAAATATATACCAATGAATGCACGTATATATATATATATATATATGTAAAAATAAAATTTAACATATAATACTTGTAATATATATATATATATATATATATATACACACTATTAAATACTAATTTAGATAATTTAAAAATCATATATATTTTTATAAAGTTATATATATATATATATATATATATTAATATTAATTCTTTTTCATTTATATTTAGGAAAAAAGCATATTTCAATTTATATTTTGAATATTAAATGTATGCCATAATTTAAGATAATTTTTTAAAGTCAGTTTTATTACCTTTTATAAAGAAACTCTTGAATTTAAGGAAATATATTTTTCTATTTCGTAATTATTTAAAAATACTATCTATGGTTTTGTAAGATTAAAAAGAAGATCAAGTTTTAAAAATTGTCTTCTAAAGCTTATCTTAAGTGGGTTATCTAAAGTAGAATAATAAATAAGTCAATAAAAAAAATAAAGCAAAAAAAAAAAACAAACAAACAAACAAACAAACAAACAAACAAAATAAAAAAAAAATATATTTACTCAAGTAAACAACAAGCAATTACAGAGCATATGATGGAGTAGATGAATACAAATGAAGGATATCAGATTTACATTTTTTTTGTGCATGTTTAAATTTTTTGATTATAGTATAAGATTTAATAAGAGACATATAGAATTCAAGAAGAGTATCTATTGAATTTAAAAATTAGATATAACATAAAATTAGATTAATTTGTTTTTAAATATCAAACATGTTAAATCATTGATAATCCAATTTGTAAGAAGATTAATTACTCTTTATATTATAATAGAGTAACCATACATAATCACCAACTTTAAATAGTATTTGTTCTTTTCTAAAGACACACGCATTAGTTTTTTATCACTCTTGAACCTTCTTTAGTAGTATCTATGTTGTTGTGTAAAACTTTACTATTTTATCTACCAAATCCTTTATTGCTAGATTTTTAACTTTTAAAACTTAAAATTATTAAATAATAGATGGTAATTACAATTAAATAAAACTGATGAATTTTAAGAATAAAAATGTATTATATTATTATATTAAATAATTATTAATAGCAAGAAACTTGTCTAATGGTCTTAATGACGAATGATAGTGCATTACAAATATTATTCCAATATATGTTTTACTTGTCCTATTTGGCTATTATTTTGATAATAAAAATTAAAGTTAATATGTTTTAAAAATATCTGTCAGAACCATATACTAATTAGAGTTTATGATTAAATTTAATATAACTTAGAATTCTATAATAATGATACAAATTATCAAAGTATAATTTAGTTGATTCTTTACTTGTAATAGTTTTTTTGCAAAGTAAAAAAATATGAAATTTTGATTTGAGAATCTATCTTCACAAAAATAAAATTATAAAAATTTGAGAGTTGAAGTTTTATAATAAAATCTATAAAACAAATGACCAAGGTTGTTTTAAAATAGATAGAGACTAAAAAAGTCCATTTAATTAATAATATAGAATCTTTGCTTAAGAACGACAGTCACAAGATTGAACATTTGCTTTGACAACTTTTTATATTTGAGGCTAATAAAATCTCTTAAAATAAGCTCTAAAGTTTTTTTATATCCAAAAATAATTATTGGTAGGAAGTTGTACTATGCTTGAAATATACATAATTAAATTTGAGCGTCTAAAACACATAACTATTATTTATAATAGAAAATAATATTTTTTAAAGTTAAATTTAATGTGATTATTATAATAGATATTTTTATTATTCAAAATGATAGAATTTTTTAACATAATTGAAAAAATTCCATAAAAAAATAATATCAATAAGAAAAACTGGCTTAATAGATCAAATATTTAATTCTTCAGATATTTGAAATAAAAATAAATAAAATAATCTATTCTTATATATATATATATATATATATATGATTTTTCTCTTTTAATACAAGACAATAACATCTAGCTAAGGCATTTTTAGGCTTTGTTGTATTTCATAATGAAATGTAATATTTAGTATAATCTTTAATAAAGACATGCTCCACCAAGCTTATTGACAATACAAAAGACATGCAAACATGAAACATATAAGAATATTGTGATTATCATATATTATAATTTGGTTAGAAGTGTCTTTCATATAATGGTGCTTCTTTTTTAATAAATCTATTATAATAAAAAGTTATTTTTGTGAATCTCATAATTAATCTAACTTATTGATAAATTTGTAACTAAAATATAATAAGTTAAAGTCTATTATTTATAGGCATTTGTAATAAAATTACACTTAATAAAAAAATTGATGAATTTTTAGCATAAAACTGGATAAATATTTTTAAAAGATTTAAGATATGAGCATTTTTTTTTTTTTTTTTTTTTTTTTTTTTTTTAAATCTTAGAAGATATATTTTTTTAAGAATCTTAACCCTACTACAATTTGTCTTTACAAGTTAATTGTATAAGTGGAACAATAATCTTAAAAAGTAAATTTTATTATAAATTCATAATACTTTATAAAATTTAAAAAGTTTTTATATCACATATTTTCTTTAAATTATTAAATCCATTGTTTTTTCTATATCTTTAAAATTTTAATTTCAAATTATCATCCGATATGATATATTCTAAAAATTCCATTTAAATTGCATAAAAAACACAATTTGAATTTATTTTGTTGTATTATTTTTTATTTATAATTAATTTTAATATGAGATAACTATATTATTCATGTTTTATATAATACAAAACAAACTATTCAAATATTATTAATATTTCATTAATTATTGAATTCTAAGAAATTAATAAATCATTTGTAAATCCAAAATGTATGAAATTATATTTAGAATAACCATACTTAATTCAAAATGGAATCTTCTATTCATATATATACATATGAAAAAAATTTCTATAGAAGTACAAATATTTTTATTTTATATTTTTGTGAATTCTTTGTATCAATTATTATTTTTCAAGAGTAGGTCTAACTTTTGACATGTAAAGAAAAAGTGTTCCATTTGCTATAAGTACTACAATGTGATACTCTTAACATGAATAAATTATTCATAAAGTCACATCTATTTTTAGTTTGTTTTTTTAAATCAAACTTTCTTCGAAAGAATATGATGATAATCTATTACATCGTCTATCCTTTGATTGTTCTATAAAACTGTAACTAGAGCACAAAATCCCTGTTGACACAACTCCAACTCATATCAAAGAAGATTAGTTGATTTACAAGAATACATCATCAAAATGATATTAAAGTTCTGAAGCCCTTGCTCTAAAATGCTGGCCAAAGATTATGTTTTGTTTGTTATTTGAGGTTTGTCACGCTCATCTTAATGAGTAGCAGATGAAATGATTGATTAAGAAAATTTTGTAAGCTTAAAGCTAAAAGGCATTCAATAAAAACCATTACCTGTCACGTCTTCAAGACTTAAAGTGCATTTAAAATAAAGTTTTAAAAAAATAATACAAAGTGTAAGGTTGGCCATTTTCAAAGTCAAGTGTGCATACCCATTACAATGAAGGCGAAGGGTGTGCAATTATTATTATCATCTACACATTTTTTCACATGATACAAGCATATTAGTTCCCACTTGTAGACATATGATAATTCTATCCATTATATTGATTTTTTTTAAAAAAAATAAAAAAACATCTATTCACAATCAAAACAATGACATTTTTGTAATGCACACTGAGCCATCAATCAACACACTAGATCCATCAATCTATATTTATTCATTATTACAGATATGGCTCCATTGTCTCTGAACATTACATACAATCCCACAAAGCTCAAAACTTGATGTTCACAGCGAAAAGGAACATAAAACTCCATTCGTATTTAATTAAGGACGAGGAGAAATTCATCCTCTTTCAAACCAATTAAAAAAAAAAGAAAAAGAAAAAGAAAAAGAAGCCCTTGTTCACTTTTGCTTCGTCACTACTTTTGAGAAAGATTTTATAAAGTCCAGTTGTCACGCTCACGAGTTCAACGATAAAAAGCGAGCATCGCTCCAACAGAAAAATAAAGCTTCACCCTCAGTACTGGAAGCAGAATCTTCAGAATTTGCAGATTTAGATATGGGCTGCATACGTGGAGACTGTACACGTGGCAGAATCCTATAGGATTGATTGACTCCGTGCCAACGAACTTAGAAGTGATGAATCGGTCGTCATCTTCATCACCATCGGCGGCGAATTTGTTTTTCCCTCTGGATTTCACCCCCCCCCCCCCCTCGTTCTCCCAGCGGGAGAACGAGGATTAATGTCGAACGTGCTTGAAGTGTTCAGAAGTAGCATGAAATTCTTGTGATGCGGATTCAGAGTGTGTGCAGTTCGATCCACGGTTTGATTTGCGATCGAAGGCTCGCTTCGTTGGTAGGCAGATTCCAATAGGCAAATTGAAAGTCAACACATCTGATTCCGCTGAGAAGACCACCGGCATCGTGAAGGAAGAAGACGATTTAATTCTTGTTGTTGGTCGCATTCTGTCGCCAGACCTGCCGTCGCCTTTCACACAGAAGCCTAATTTTAATAATTTCATATATATATATATACATATATTTTTTTTTCTATGTATGAGCATTTTTGCTGTCGTGGAATTTCAAGAATTTCGGTTCTAAGGAGATTGGCTCGGCACTCTGTTGTTGATGAATTAGTAGTGATCTCTACAGTTCGTGGATGAAATATTTGCTTCGTTGAGTTGATTGATATTGTCTTGGAGAGAGAGAGGGGGCGAGAGAGAGAGCGAGAGAGAGAGAGGAAATAGGAAGGGTATCAAAGTGCGGATCAGCATGTATGAAGCCATTGAGTGTTACAAATGATCGTTGTATTTGTGCTCTGACAAATAGGCAGCGGGATCGTTACGCGCTGCAAGGGTGGAGAGGATAGGGGAGTGTTTGTTTTGGTCTGAAGGGAATTTACTCTGGTGATACGCCTGGAGAGAAGGTAAAGGAAGGGGGAAGAGAGAAGGAGAGGGAGAGATGCAGAGGGGAGTAGGAAAGGCGGTTAGGCGAGTAGGAAGGGCGGCAGCAGCGCGCTTGAAGCATTCGGAATTCGTGTCGAGAGGGGCAGCAGCGGGTATACAGAGCATCCAGCAACCAATCCCTGCACCGTCGGCGACGGAAGTCTCTGCTCAGGATCAAGGAGTGTCGAGTCAATGGCACAGAGGTTTCTCAACATTGCCTTGGACGAATCCTGTGTCTATGCAGTCTATTAACCCTAAGGTTCGATCCTCTGTCCGCGTCCTCCAAACGTTGCCCCTAGGCATTCTATCTCTACGTTTTGTTTTGTTTTGTTTTGTTTTGTTTTTTTCCTCTCTCTCTCTCTAGGTCTTGTCACTACTTTAAAGAATTGGTGAACGCTTTCGAACATCTACTCTGGATAGTTGATGTGAGATTAATGTGACATCTTGGAAGTTTTACATCGATACCTTCCTGGAAGCCTTCTGCTATGTGTGCCCTCTGCGTATACGAACTTTTTATGTTGGTTTAAATCTTGATGAGATGTGTCTAGATGAAATCATGAGGCGTTGTTTACTTGCTGGCATTCAGAACAATAGACTTCTGTAGTTTGGATTGCTTGAGGATTTTCTTGCGTCAATTACGGCCCGTGTGTCTGTCCAACGCTTAGATACTCTCTGCCTTTGATGTATGCCTTCCTTGAGTTGAATACTTTCCTAGCCTAAAGCTCCTCTTAGTGTGACTGTAATTTCATTTGTTTGTTTAATTATTTATTTGGGTTTTTGTGCAGAAAAGTGGTTTTCTTTTGTTGATAGTAGAACCAGAGAACGGAAAATAGTAGTACTCCCTCATCCATATGGGTTTAATGTATCAGGAGTATTGGTTTTTACACGAAAGACACAAACCCCTCAATTATTTGTAGATTCACTTCTACATTCTTCTAGAATGCACGCTTTCAGCGAATCAAGTTCAGCAGACAGCAACCTTTGAGAGAATTGTTGTAATTGAGGATTGCCACGTGCTGCTGATTTTACTATCCTCGTTCCTGGTTATAGTGTTATTATAGGTCTTAAAACTCTACTTTTCATGTTCTTATTGAGTGAATGTTCGTCACTTAGATTCTTTTCTGTATGTATACGCAGGTTATCAAGACAGAATACGCAGTTCGTGGAGAGATTGTTACTCGAGCTCAGGTGCAGTTTTTATAGTAGTGTGTACTCAAGAGAAGTTTCTGAGTGGCAACTGGAACAATTCTCTTTGTTAACCTCGAGTGTTTTTTACTTAATCCGAAGCATCTCAACTTCCTTTTTGTGTATGCAGAACCTTGAGCAAGAGTTGATCACAAAGCCGGGATCTCTTCCGTTTGAAGAGGTACATTGCCTGGTGTCATGGTGTAAAAGCTCATCTTTATTGATTTTTCAATTTTTGAGCCTCCTTCATGTACATCTGAGGAAGCATGAGTTGTGTGATTGTGAACCGTTTACGAGGTAACTTGGTTTGCTGGGTTACCAGATTGTGTACTGCAACATTGGTAATCCGCAATCGCTGAGTCAACCGCCAGTTACTTTCTTCCGAGAGGTAAAGCATTCCATTGCACTTGGGCTTCTTGTTTATCATCTTGAATGGCATAGTTAATGTACATTTTTTTATTCAATTGCTTATATAAGTTATTTTTTCCAGGTTTGATTCACTTATGTATTCTCACAGTTCACAATAATTGGATGGAATAAGCTAACTAATTAAATAGGCCTCCAGAATGCTCTGTCCGTGAAATCTCTTTCTATGAGTATGTCGCTGGAGGTTTGTAATAGGAAGCAGTATTGTTCAGGTTGTTGCTCTTTGTGACCATCCAAACCTTCTTGACAAGTCAGAGACGCACGCTCTATTCAGGTACTGCTTTTGATTTATTCCTGGTTCTGTTCCGTTGACCTTGTTTCTATGTATCGAGTGTGGTGTAGTTGGAATAGACTTTGTACAGGTTACAGGGATCCTGATAACTTGTCCTTAGTGCTTGATCATTTTGAAAATGAAGAACAAATTCAATAGTTTCTCGTTTTTACTCTCGTCATTTTCATTAATTTGTGGGAGCGTGACGTTTACTTTTAGACGAGTTATTTGTAACGTCATTGCTTGGTTCTTTGACAACAAGCTGTCTGATTCATTGCTTGTGGGAATGTTGTTATCTTTTAATTACATTATAATACCTTATTTTTGGATATCATTTCTTGCTCTTTACCAGTTCTGATGCCATCTCAAGGGCGTTTCGAATAATCGACAACATCCCTGGCCGAACTACGGGGGCGTACAGTCACAGTCAGGTAAAGTCATTTATATTAATCAGTGCGGAAATGTCATTAAATGTGTTCTAACCGAGCTGTGATTTTTGAGTGTCACATCACGAATTTTAAATTAGTATTACAAGCCATGTGCAGTTTCAAGAAAACAAAATGTACAATCTGTGTTTTTTGCTTCATGAGATTCAATACTGAGTGTTGTATAGGAAGTTATGTTATCCAGTCTTTGTTTCTGCCTGAAATCGAGTACTTTTCTCGGGAGCTTTGCCACTCTACAAGACACATTTGCTTGAATTTGGTTCTTCCCAGATTCACGCCTTTAGTAACTTTTTCTTAGTTTCGTGTACATCACCTCAGGATGTTTCAACCGGAGAAAATTCCGTTTTCTGAGATGCGATTGCTGCATGCAGGGTATCAAAGTCTGTCGTGAGGACATTGCAGCAGGTATTGAGGCCCGTGATGGTTTTCCTGCAGATCCTGAAGATATCTTTATAACAGATGGTGCAAGTCCCGGAGTAATATCTTAACCGGTCCCCAAAATTCTTAGCATACATTATGTAACTGGTTTTTGATGTTTAGTTTAAGGCCGCCTTGCCTTCATATTTCTAACCAACCCTGGACATCCGACAGGTTCACATGATGATGCAGCTGCTAATAACCTCTGAAAAAGATGGAATCTTGTGTCCGATTCCACAATATCCTTTGTATTCAGCATCGATAGCATTACATGGAGGCACTTTGGTAATTCTTTTTTCTTTTTATGCTCTTTAATCAACCATGCCAGTGAGTCCCTACTCATATTGTAGATAGAAAATACGTCATTAGTGCTTGTGTTTGAGAATTGAAAACGAGACTTGCATTAATAACTCAAGGTTAATTATCTTGTTGAGCATTATAATCTGTTTCTCGTGAATTGCGTCTGGAATGATTTCATCCTTAGGGTTTGAATTGAGTCTGCCAAGTCTTGATTCGCTTGTGCCCATTGATATATTTTCAATGCTTATTATATCTCTAAACTCAGTTACGTGCGGTTCTGAGCAGGTGCCATACTATCTGAATGAGAGTGCTGGTTGGGGTCTTGAAATGAATGAGCTCAAGCAGCAGCTCAAAGCTGCTCGTGATGCAGGCACCAATGTTCGGGCTCTGGTTGTCATCAATCCTGGAAATCCAACCGGCCAGGTTTGATTTAGTGGGTGATCCAGTTTGTGTTGTTGACTATCAACATTTTATAATACAAACACTTTCACAATGTATTTATCTTCTTTAGTGTGCTGTAGTTGAATCCGCCTTTAAATTTTTAATAATTTTTTGAGCTGTAGACTTGAACTGGTTTGTTCATCAATTTTTTGTGGTTAAACAGGTGTGCTAACCAATATTACGTGATTGTTCTTCTGAGCAATACTCATGTCTTTAATGCTTGAGATTTTTTTTGGGGGGGGGGGGTGAGAGCAGGTGCTCTCTGAGGAGAACCAGCGAGATGTTGTGCAGTTTTGCAAGGAAGAGGGTCTTGTACTTTTGGCAGACGAGGTATCGCATATTTCTTTTGAGGATTTTGTGATACGTTGACAAATTTTGTTAGATGTCATGTTCTGACAAAGTGTATATATTTACTTGTGAGAGCATACAGTAGTTCTTTGTGCATTTTATAACTGATTTATCTCTAAAAATAGGTCTACCAAGAAAATATATATGCTCCGGACAAGAAGTTTAATTCTTTCAAGAAAGTTGCACGGAGCATGGGTTTGCAAGACAAGGATTTGAACATTGTTTCGTATCACTCTGTCTCGAAAGGTTAGAACTAAGCCGTTAATCATGTTCAGTCTGTGCTGCCAAAGAATTTGTGGTTAGATTCTTTTTGTTTTTCTGTGTCATGCTTCAGCTCATGCTGGTATACTAAGCATGAGACATTGAATCCTGGATAACTTCTATGCAGGATATTATGGTGAATGCGGGCGACGGGGGGGCTATATGGAGGTGACTGGTTTGCCTAAAGATGTGAAAGACCAGCTTTACAAGGTTGCTTCTGTGAACTTGTGTTCTAATATCTCCGGACAGGTTCTTATGAGCTTGGTCACGAATCCTCCTAAGGTATGTGCTTTAATTGAAGTCGGGGCTTTCATGCTTACAATTTCATGCTTACATTTCATGGTTTATTTCATGGCACTTATCAATATCATTTTTCCGGGGGTACCGTCTGATTTCTGCTAGTGCAGTTCATGTGCAATGTTCCCCATGAGGAGAAGGTTGGGACACATGTAATGGGACTTGGACCATGAGCTTTTTTTTTTCCTGTTTTCTGTCCTTTTTCTTTTTTCTGGTACTTTCTATTCATGTGGTTTGTAATTATGACGGCGCATATGCAGCCTGGAGACGAATCGTACGAACTATTTGCTGAAGAGCGGGATGCAATCTTGGGGTCTCTGGGCAGACGTGCGAAGGTATGAACAGTAGGAATAAGCCCTACATCTAAGCTAGTTTAACTTGCTCACTTACTTCCTCTATTTTTTCTTCTATTATTTGTCTATTACATGGACTATAATATTCTTGGATGGAATCTCATTTGGTAATACACGTACCACCATGTTTTGGTTTAATTAATTCTCTTCAGATCCCCATGCATTTCTGCTCACTATTTTCTATTGGTGATGTTTAGGTTTTGACCGAGGGGATGAACAAATTGGAAGGTGTAACTTGTAATGCTGCGGAAGGTGCAATGTATGTATTCCCCCGTTTGGATTTACCTGAGCGGGCACTTAAGGCGGCAGGAGCGGTTGGTATGCTTGCTGATGTTTTCTACACACGAAGGCTACTGGATGCAACTGGTGTTGTCATGGTGCCTGGGTCAGGGTTTGGTCAGGTATGTAATACTTTACTTCGAAGCACATGTGCTTATTTCCCAATTTGTAGAGAGGACGTTAGAACCATCATTAGGTGAAGAGCTAACCTGAACAACAAGCTCATACCGATGCAATGGTGCAGAGTTCAGCATGTGTTTCCTCGATATTATTGTCTTGAAGATGGTCATGTTTTGGCAAACATTCTGAATTCTTCATTTTGGGGGGGGGGGGGGGTGGGGGGGTGGGGATTTGCATTCCAGGTACCCGGTACATGGCATGTTCGATGTACAATTTTGCCAGCTGAAGAGAAACTTCCAGGAGTCATCGATCGTCTGACAACTTTCCATCAAAGGTTCATGGACGAATTCAGGGACTGATGTAATTACTTGTATTAGACCTTGTGTTTTTCTCAGGGTGTTCCAGAGTTGGATTTGTCTTGTCCAATGGTGGCTATCAACTTAAAAGTTCATCGCTATTCGCGCTTGCTCTTCATGTGCCAAGCCATTGTAGCTCCGGTGGAAGCGGTTTATGTTCTGATTGTCATCTCAAATAATGGAGAGCTAATCGATTGATTATGCACATTCAGTTGCCTGACGTACAGCGCGGAGAGCGATTGCCTTTACCTGTTCGCTCTGGATTTAGTATCGGTAGTTGAGAGTCACAAGTGTAAAGTGCTACTTTCCCGTCATCTTCGGCAGAATGTCGTGAATGCATGGTTAACGTATGTAACTTGTAACTGTAGTTCACCCATTACTTTGCTCTGTGAGATGCATTCACCTTGAGGAATATAACTCATGCAACCACAACACCCCGCGCATTGTAGGAGACCCAGTTCCAGCAGGATAACTATAAAATCTTCACAATCGTTATACAAACTATTTCATTTGCTCTGTTTAGGTACAATCAAACACCAAGACGTCTGAAAAAATCTGTGCTGTACCGTTCCCTAACTGGAACTTCAGGAATTCAAAATCGATTCATGTCAATGCCATGTGAGAAAATAATCATAATGCTTAGTATTTGTATATGTATATACAGAGAAATCTTCAGTTTTTTTAGTGTTTGAAGCTTGAAATTTCGTATTATAACACAAAACCTTTTATTATTGTTAGTTTTTTGACCATTTTTTGTTAAAGTGAGTCTTACTCTTAAGAATAAGTCTGTCTGAGTTTGTTGCATTAGACTTGTTGAAAAAGAACAAGAAAATTGCTTATAATATCATTCGTCAAAAGATAGTTTGAATTAGATTTCAAAGAAAAAAAGAAAAAAGAGTTTTAGATATGACAATAATGATAGTGAATTAGTAAATAGAAGTAATAATATCTTTTTAAGAAATTTATAACTTCACTATTGGCAATATTTACACTATAGTAACACAAAATATATACATATATATATATATATATATATATATCCATATATATAGATATAGGAAGAAAAATGTAATAATTGACTAAGTTTATTTTATGGACATTATATAAGCCTAATTATAAATAAATTTCATAAATAAAATACCATAATATAATATTTTTTTTCTTAAAAGAGAACTAAGTAATAATTTTATAATGTGTAAGTTATGTTATCTTAAAACCTCTTTATTGATAAAATCTAATAGATCAATTAATTCAATCCATAATACATGTGTACACTATTGTAATAGAATTGAATATAAAATTGAGTAGTATCATTTTAATATAAATTATGCAAATTATTTAATTAAATAATTTTGTTTGAATTATTCAACTATTGTTTCTAAAAAAATATATATTAAAAAATATTAACTAATTTAATCACTAATATTTGAAGCATAAAAAATTTAGTTGTCAAATCTAGATGTAAAATCCTTACATATAAAAAATTCTAAAAAAAATAAATTGCTAATAAACATTTATTTGGTTGCCTTTGTATCATGTTTCAAAAGAAAAAGAAAAGAATGAGAAAGAGAAAGAAAAATGAACACAAATACAGTCTTTTGAAACAACAAAGAAATTAAAATTTCTACTATTACTAAAGTCATATTCGGTTATAACATGACGGTAATTTGACGAAAACCAAAAGTAAATTTTTTCTTTCTATTCCTTTTATTTCACGATAGTTATTTTTGTAAATGGAGACATCGCAATATAACGACAGAAGAATTACAATTTCTCTCGACCTTGAAGGCCCCACGAGATTGGGCCTCACCCAGAAGCAAGATTACGCGAGTGATGTAGTTCCACACCATTAGATCTCAAACACTGCACAGGAATCCCAGTGCGACCGATGATGACGTTGGCGCCATTAAAGGGCACCTGATGGTATTATGTAATTGCGGCACACATCCACACACACACACTCGAACTGACAATCGCACCGACAGTGCTGCCGCAAACGGAGTCACTTGCGACGCCACACCGACACTAACACCGACACCCCTTCTCGTATAAAAAGCTGAAGTATAATGACTTTGTCTCTTGAGACCGTGGCACAAATTTTCTTTGGAGTTATTGGAGTTTGACAGCTCTCCGTGTGATTGTGAGATTGTGGTTTGTCTAGGAAGGTTCGGGCATGATAATTGTATTACAAAAAAGTTAAAATTAAAATTAAAAAAAAAACGTAATGAAACGGGATTCTACCCACGTCATGAACGTTTTGGAACAATGGATAAACCACTAGTAACACATGTGGGAATTTCTCAAAAAGGTTGTGATTCAAAATTAGTTTCTTAATGAAGAATATAAAATTTTCCCATGTTCTATTTCTTGATTTGCTTGACTGAGATTGATCATTAAATTAACATAAAGTATGTAAATTTTAAATAAAAATGAATAAAATAAAAATAAAAAACGTGAAAAAAATAAATAGTATATGTTTCATCTAACTTCAAAGTTTGCATCTTGATAGTAGATACATTTGAAAAATATAAAAAATATATATTTTTAGTTATTGATTATTATTATTATATTTATTCTTATTGGAAATAAATCTCTTTGTATGAAGAGGAATATATAAATTTTAAAATTCAATTGGTATTTTTATGAGTGATTAGAAAGCCTCTTTAAATTAGGGCTTTTTTCCAAAAAATCCTAATTATCCTAGAATAAGCTTAGTGAGATGCCCTAAAATAAGGCTCTAATGGTATTCCTCTACATGGTTGGAAGAGACGCCACATGATGCAATCCATACAGAAGAATACCAATTTATAATTACAGTAGTTATGTTAGGGTGTGCACATAAAATTTACCATGGTGAAGGAATTGCAGACCCTTTAGAAATCCTATGTAGAAATAATGTTTAACCTCACCCCAAATCTACAAGATAAGAACACCACCTAGGTTCTATCAATATAGTGCTTGTTCTATAACAAGCTCAGCCATAAAGAAGTTGATTTCATAGGGCATAAATAAAAAGCAATTTTGAATGTAAAAATATTTTTAATTCTTTTTTATCAATTGAACGATATGATACCTAATTTATGTATATGTGCCTAATTGAACATAAATTAGGTATCATATTAAAAAAATATTCAATGTATCATAAATGTTCAATGTATCATAGAAAAAATCAAGGCACATATAAAGTTACAACATACTAAAGCATGGATAGAAATCAATGCCTTCCCAGATGCCTTAAAGAAGTAGTTCTTTGACTAGGTGAATTTCAAGAACATCTTTGTAGTCTATTTCAAGATCAAGAAAGCACTTATGTTCACAATCAATTGGAATATTATGGATGTGGTTATTGATATCATATTGTTCAATGTAGATGATGAAGAATCTGCACGGACTCATGAACGGGCATTATTAATTTTCAAGCTATTTGAAGGTGCAAATAATTACCAAATTGAGCTTGGCGGAGAGGAAGATTTGAACCACAAAGTGTACAAGGTAGAAATCAATTCTTTGTGACTATTTCATCTTGTGATTGACTTTGTTTCATATACAACCTTGTTTCAAATGGTAGCAAGTCTTGTAGATGTCACAAAGCCCATGTTGCATATAGGCTGCTTTAGTCAATGCAGTAATGACTATGTGACTTCATTTGTGAGGGTGGTTTGTCTTATGAACTTATAAAAAATCACCAAGCTCTTCCATATACAATAGGTGTGTTTGCTTGCTCTTAACATTGGCTCGAAGCAAGGCACCTCTTACCTTGACTTTTGAGTTTAATTTGAGTATGAATTGAAGTTGCACAACCTCCATCGTCTTGCTATTATATGTTTTGATTGCAAAACAACCAAAGTAATCTTTGTTGTGGATTCAAAACTTTTGGATGTCATTATTGTAAAATAGAAGATAGAACTAATTAGAATTAGCTCAGATAATAAGTTCATAATGATTAGATAGATTTTTAGCATTATAATGACAATAATTAAGGTAATTAGTAATGAGATTATATGGGTGTGGTGTGCTCAATATCAACATGACTTCTTGTATGACGACTAATTTGTCACCATCTTGAAAAACCTCATTTCTTATTTTTACCACCAATACAATCTCATAAAAAAATAGATTATGTATGCCAAAAATTCATGGACACGTAGTGGCTATCTATAAAAAAAAATCGTAAATTGTTACACCTAGGGCATATGATGATCTATGAGTACTTTTTGCAAAAGCTACTTGCATATATTCTTCTCTCTTTTCGGTGGGTAGTATTGCTTGCATTTGATGACGTTGTAGAAGTAATATCACTTATTATGACATGCTTGTAAGGATTGAGCACCCTTCTAAATCAATAAAAAATTGAGCTCAAAGGCGTGATTTAGTCTTTGGTGAGTTTGTACAAAGTACAAGGTCTGCATAGTATAGAGACTTTGGCCATGGCTTATGGCACCTCAAAATTAGTCATCCATAGATCTTGATGGTCGACTCTCACAAATATGGAGGCTTTTATTTAAGATTAAGCACCTTTTTAATGAACTTCTTGACTTTGTTTCCTACAATCAAGGCTAAAGCCATGGTTCATAATGTGGCAACTTTGTTTAATGGACTCGTCAATAGCATTGCATCCATTATTGACTAATATCATTACAACAATGCTGCCAATAATTAGAAAATTCTAAAAGTATTGCCATATGATTTGTGTATATTATAGATGATTTTGCTGTATTTCTATTTGTTGACTTAGGTTGCAATTAGAATTAGTTGGGTGGAATTAACAAGGATGTTAAAAATGGCCACTAAGCCATGGTATGTGCCTACCATTGTTGTATAGTGATAAAGCCATTAGTTAAGAGAAGAAAGAAATTATTTTATTATAGAAGAGCTTAATTAAAAATATCTATTAAAAAAACATAAATAAATGATAAGCAAGTAATAAAATCTATTAGTATTAGAATTACCTTCTATGAAAATAAATTCTATATATTTTGTAGAATCATAAATAAGGTAGATTAAAAAATAAAGGATGCAGGCATATATAAAAAAGAGTTAAGAGTTGATTTTAGCAAAAATTACTTCAAGAAGAAAAAAATTGATACTTGGAGAGGATTGGATTTCAATCAGAATCAAAATCACACTTCAAGGTACAAAACCAAGTACTTATAATGGCTTTAGGATTTTTTGGCAAATCAAAGAATGGAATTTGAGGGCAGACTTGAAGAAAGATTTTTG